CTGGGCGAGCGCCTAGCGCCTCGGGCGTTTTTGGACCTTGGCGCCTAGCGCTTTTTAAATCACTGGGGTTATAGGTAATGAATGATAAAAAGAACTGATACATGAACAACCTTCCAAGAAAACCAAGTTGAGGATTCTGTTGCCTTGGTGCTTTAGCATTTTTGGATGCTCTGAAATGAATAATACCCCCTATAGTAAAACTTGTCATTTCTTTTCTCCTTTCTCGAAGATCTCATTTCATGTCCAGGGTAATTTTATAACGGTTCTTGTTTGTATGAGCTTAATTTGCAACCAGGGTAGTAGATCTTCTTTTAGGCCTCAGTGTATCGTACTTTGGATTATCACTATTTCTGTAATTTGGGAAACAAAAGGTTTGTTCACACAATGTGGAAATATCTAATTTATGTATTGGATTTGCTGGCTTGTTTGCTCAGTTCTTATTTAGTCTCATTCATAACAATGGCAAATTTTTATAATTTCAACTACTATCTCATTCAGTTTGGTTATTCAGCACCAAAAAAACTCAACAGATGAGCTACATAGCCTTTGTGATGCATGGGAATTTCAAGAGACTGAGATAATGAATGCCCGAAATAAGTTGCGGTCTATTCGAGCAAAATTGGCAGTTTTAGAAGGAAAGATATCATTTGAGATTATGTATGCATTTTTCCCAGCTTGATTTGAAATCTTTTTTGAAATATGTTCTTGCAAACTGTATTGTTTGTTCATGATATTGAGATTTCTTTTATAGGGAAGCACGAAAACGAACAGAAGAGAAACAAAACAGAATTGATTCTGCCCAAAATGCTTTACTACTACTCCATACTACTAATATAGTTTGGCCTAATTCTGCTTCAGAAGTTCTACTTGCAGGGTCTTTTGATGGGTGGACTGGTCAGGTATGTTCATTTTATGGCTTTCAAGTTTTTGTTCGTATGATATATGAAGTAGAACATTATATGATAAAATTTGGACTCTAGTTTTTGTTCGTATGGTTTATGAATGTAGAGAATTATATGATCAATAAATATGGTTATTGTTTATCTGTTGACTTTTTTTTTTATAGTTGATGTGCTGTTGAGCTGAACTGTTTCTCTTCATTTGCACTCAGATGCCAAGTATGGCCTGTCTGACTCTCAATTTGTTAATTCGAGTGATGAATTTTTTTCATCAATCCCACAATCTTTCTGTAGATAGTTGGAGAATTCTCTATCCAGTAGTTAAGTACCCGACACTTAAGTTGTAGTTTTCGATTGGTCAGTTTTACTTGGAAGTATGAAGCATGATAATGAGGTTTATATCTTTTATCCCACCATGGCATTCTTCATGATATGAGAATGCTATATATATATATATATATATGTATATAAACCAAGGAAATAAAGCGCAATGAATATTACATTTTGAAAATTGGTCAACAACTAGTAGAATCAATCTGAAGTCTCCCACCTTTGGCAAGCTTGGTACAAGGGCAAGGCTTCAAGAGGTCTTCTGGCTTCTGTCTTCCCACTTGTCTTGCTGATATGTGACGCACATTTGTACAAATTTCTCTGCATCTTCCTCTATTTTCAGCCAGTAGAGCATGCATGCTCTCCAAGAGAGCAAGAGTTCTGTATATGTCTGGATTTCACAATCAGAGGGTGTCATGACACTCCAGCAAAGAGTAAACACCTTAGGCAAATACACCCCATTCCCTTTTGTATAAATGAGGCCCTTCCATATTGAAAAGGAATTAGTTCTTTCTTCCAGTACCTATGACCAGGGCACATACATGTGCCACTGTGCTCACAAAAGGCCCATATGCTCATGATGAACATCATCAGGTCCAAAATCTCAGGTCAAGTGGTAATGGAATCTCATGTCGTGTCTTACCACCTCACATTTTTATTGGGGCTATTATTAACTCGATCTCTCACTCAACTGCATACTTATTAAAATTCGGCATTTCTAATGTTCATCGTATGCTCTATGATATTTCGTAACTTCAAATTTCATAGATCTTTTATATGACATTTTAAATGTTTATATGACATTTTCAGAGAAGGATGGAAAGGTCAAGTTCAGGTGTCTTCTCTCTGCAGCTAAAATTGTACCCTGGCCGATACGAGGTGCGCAGCAGTTCGTTTCTTAATTAGTGATTTTTCCAGCGAATACACAAAAAGAATTTTCTTGTACTTGGACAGATCAAGTTCATTGTGGATGGTGTGTGGAAAGTCGATCCGCTGCGCCCCATCGTGCGCAACAGTGGTCATGAGAACAACCTCCTTATCGTCAAATGATGGTACACAGCCCAAGAGCAGAGAAATGCTTGGGCAATGTTGTTTGGGTGGGTAGGTATTCTTGCACAAAGAGTGATATGGTCTAATGACGACGGATGGCCCCTTTTTCTTTTTTTCTGCATTTCGTACTAAATGTTGGGTGTTTTAGATACTAACCATGCTAATCCTTGTGGCTGTCCAAGAACCTCCTCCAGTTCAGATGGCGGCATTTCAATCCAAGAACTGGCCATCCACTGGGGCAGTGCACATAACGATGAGAGCTGCTGAACTTGCAACGCTAGAGGATCTCAGAGACCAAGGAGCTCTTCCCAGTTTCATGCTTACCCGTCTGAAGCCAAGAATTAGAAACATTCTTTTGACATGAGAAACGTTTGTTTTGTGTGCCCCTTTTTTTCACAGAAATATACACCTATATGTTTGTTGATACGCCTTTGCCATACCTTTGAATTGCTGTGTAGCACAAGTTTCCAAAGAAGAAATTCTCAATTTAAGCAGCAAACGATGAGACTTGATGACCTTGTGCTCTGTTATCTTGACATGCTTAATTGGGACAAGATATACACCTATATGTTGCTGCTGCTACGTCTAAGCTTTGTATCTGTACCACTTGGCGCAAGCAGCGAAGTAGATGAAGTTGAGGACCCCTAACACGGCAATGGAGAAGTAGAAGAGGTCCAACTTCCCCTTGTTGAGGTCTTCGGCTAACCAGTTCTTGCTCTGCCCTCGCCCGGTGCTGCGGTGGACCACCGTCACCATCAAGCTGCTCAGGTAACCCCCGAGCGCGAAGCCACAGAAGAGCAACGACCCCGCGATGCTCCGCATGTTTTCCGGGAACTGCTTGTAGTAGAACTCCACTTGGCTGATCACGTTGAACGCCTCGGAGACGCCCAGGATGATGAGCGGCGGGATCAGCCACAGGGAGGAGAAGGGCGACACGATCTGGTGGTGGCGCAGGGCGTGGCTCCTCCTCCGCTCCTCGATCACGCCGGCGGTTGCCATGACGACCACGGAGAGGACGAGCCCGATTCCCATCCTCTGCAGCAGCGTGAGCCCTCCCTCCTTCTTGGTGATCCTTTCCAGCCGCGGGGCGACGATCCGATCGTAGATGGGGATCCAGAGTGACATCGCCAGCATGGGGAACACCACGAAGGAAGCCGCCGGTATCTGGAAGTTGCTCCTCCCCAGGTGCCTGTTGGATTGGAGGGCTTGGAAGATGACATAGGTCTGCTGCTGCGTCGCTGCAAGTTGGTACAGGATGCCGGTGGACCAGACGGGAATGATCCTTACGATGCACTTCACCTGTTCGACCTGTTGCAGGGTGCACAGCTGCCATGGATTTGCGGCAAACCCATCTGGTTTGATCTCGTCCTCGGGAGTTACGATTGCAGCCTTGTCGAGAATCCTGAATCCATCCATGAAGACACTCATCAAACTGCTGTTTGATTCAGCGAAGAACATGGTGATGCTGCTACTTGTGCTTGCCTGAACTGGTTGGTGTAGGAGAGCTTGGAGATGAGAGAGCTGAGATGCGGTGGATCGAGGAGGGACTCCACGGGGTGGTCATCGGGGAGCTTCAAGCGCCGCTTCCGAAACGCCGCAACCAGCACCTGGGCGATGCTGCTGAAGGGGCTGCCCTCCGGCCTCACCTTCACGTACGTCCTGGAACCCAGGAAGAAGAAGGCGCAGGAGAAGAACATGAGGACGGCGGGGATGGCGAGGCCGACGCTCCAGCTGACGTTGCTCTGGACGTAGATGATGAGGGTGGCGGAGATCATCATGGCGATGTTGAAGGTGAAGTAGTAGATGTTGAAGAAGCTGTCGATGCCCTTCCTCCCGTCCTCGGTGCGGGGGTCGAACTGGTCGGCGCCGAAGGCCAGGTTACATGGCCGGATGCCGCCGGCTCCGATGACGAGGAAGGCGAGGCCGAAGAGCAGGAAGGCTTGCTGCCCGGGTGTCGGGCCACTGCAGAGTCGGCCGGGGTCACACTGCGGAGGATGCAGCTGGGAGACGGCAGCAGTGAGCATGATGATGAGCAGTCCCTACACGCAGCGAACAGGTAAAATCAACTAATTACGAGGCAGTAGAACATATTATCATCAGTAAAATTTAAGATGATGTGCTATTTATCGATAAACAATACTTAAAAAAATTAAAAATAGTCATATAGATTAATTAAGGATGGTAAACTAAGTTAACACTATACTTAATTATCTCTTAAAAGAAAGAAGAAAAAAAACTATAATAAACATTTAATACACAAACAGTAGTAATATTATTGATCAAGACAAGTCGACCATAATATGTATTTTGGTGGATAAGATCCAAATAAAAGATCTTGTCCCCTTTACTGTGTGAGAGGTGTGGAGCGAGCAGAAAGGTTGGGGGGATGGACAAATGATAAGCAAAGCTGACCTCCTCGATGTCACTCGTACATCTAATGGCGGAATTGTTGCCACTGGACAATAATGTTGTAATGAGACATACAAGATAATGGTGGTGTGGGGTTGCACTCTCTTTACCTATAAATTTCCTGCAAGATTGCTTTCCAATAATGCTTCAGATAATAGGGGTCGCCCACACCCATTCAAGTTTGTTAGTGCCCTCATATGGTGGGTGGTCTTGTGGGCATTCATTCGATAAGACTATGACAGTCAACTACGGGCACATTCGTCTTTGGATTGGATTCATCTACCCCAACCTCTTCTATCCTTATCCGAAGCGTATTTAGAAAGAAGAAACCGTGTCAGCTTTAAGCTTCGTTACTGCCAATCTTCTGAGTTGGAAGCAGCATCCTATAGCACACTAGCTTGCGCTAGAATCTGTTCCTCCTCACATCTGCTGCATGTGTTCGAGATAGATAGATTGAACTCGAGAATTGCTCGAAGACAATAAATAGCCTATAGTTTAGCTCTGTGCAAGTGTTCTTCTTCTTCCCTAACATGCTGGAATGGTAAGACTGTGTACCGAAACAGGAGGGGAGTTTGGAGTGCAGTACCAGTTGGGAAGCAACGGAGGCAAGCCCCAGCGTCGCGTACCGGCCCAAGTAGGTGTCGGCGAGGAAGGCGCCGAGGACGGGGGCGAGGTTGGTGGTGCCGTTGAACACGTTGACGATGGTGGCCGTGGTGATGCTCCTGAGGTGGAAGACGGCGGTGAGGTAGACGACGAGGTTGGTGATGGTGCCGAGCGCTCCAAGCTTCTCGAAGATCTCGTTCCCTGCTCGAGTTTCCTGGCTCAGACATCACAAGCCATTCGCAGCACGATGAGCAAGTGGCGGTGTGGAGATGCCCGTACCTACGATGTAGGGCATGGCCTTCCAACCTGTGTATTCGATCTTCTCCGTCTCACTTGCCGTGCCGTTCTCCGGCATCTCCGTCACCTGCGGCTTCTCTCCTCTCGCGGCCATCATCTCTGTCTTTGACTGCTCTGCTTCCTTATCTCCGTGCTTTCAAAAGAAAGGGTGGAGCTCATAAAACGGGAAGCAAATGGCTGGACTTCATCTCACCGCAGGAAAAGAGAGAGAGAGTGTGTGTGTGATTGTGGTCATACTTATGGATTCTGTGACTAAAGTAGGACTGGTTTGGTGCATGTCTCAATGAAATAACATCTGTTTGGGGCCCTCTCAGTCTTGACTCGAAGAAAAGTTGAAGACAGGTAGGCATGCACATGGAGCATTGCAAAGATGCATTATTATACGAGCCACAATGTTGCGACGGCATCTACCGGAGATGCTCCAACTAAAGACAGGACGATGGCTTGGGTCTCCTATTAGGTCAATATGCAGCATGTTTAGTCTCGCATCACATCGATTCAGGAGAGTCAAATAAACAAAGTCGAATGCACTTCATGAAATGTTGTTGCTGCACCCCAAAATAGGATTCTCAAGCAACGCCTCAGCACAAGCAAAATAGCACACAAGAAAAGTAAAATTACAAGTTCATTCACACAAGCCGACGTAAAAGTCGCTTAATTTACATCTGATGCAATCGCAAACACTGCATCATCTTATGGCTACTACTACAAAACGTACACAGATTGACAAAGATGAGCTGCAGAAATCATTTCGGAATGAGATCCGTGAGATCATTTAAAGCCCATAAGCAGTACCATCGTCGTATGCCCGATAGGATCCTCCACAGAGATGATGCATCTTCTTGATGCATCATATGTTCCATTCCATGCATTTTGAAATATAGCAAGCACACTGTCACCCGACACCGGAACACTAATCTTTATTACCCAGCTTTCTATACTTTGGAGGAATTGATTCATCGAACTTTGCACTTCTCTTCACGTTCGCATTGCTCGCCATAGTAATGGTTGGAGAGACAGAAGAGCCGGTGTTTCTTCGCTCGAATCTCCCGATATTCCAGAATGAAAAACGTTCTTTTGGCTCATTCATGCAAACGGTAGCTTCCCCAAGAAGGTTTGTTGTCGTAGTCTGATGCGAGCCGACGGGGTCCTGTCAGCAATAGAGAAAGTAATCATGTCTAAATGTCATATCTAAAATCAAATCAAGAACTTCAGATGATAAAGAGGAATTACAACCGACCAAACAGCAGCAATATCACACCATTCACACTACTAGTATAACCAATTTATATCATCAGACTTTCTCATTGCAATTGCTTGCAGATCACAAGCCAAATCAACAAAACTCCCAAATATCCGCTGAAAAAAGGGCAATCACTTAACCTAAGATACTAAAAGACTGCAGTTGTTATGAGATTTCTCATTTCTACTCTCTGGTCTCCCATAATAATTCTCTTGCTTGTCCGAAAATTGACCTAAGCTACCATATGAAAATATAACAAAAGGCCACCTCAGGAAAGGAGTCAAAATTGCAAATAAATTTTACTGCCGTGTAAAGATTTGTTATACGATATGTCCTTATCATGACCTATCTAATATACATGTTTCACAACTGACAATTATTTTGCTTAATATCCGTGACACGATAGAACTAATGGCCAAACACAAGAAGTCAAATACCAGAAGGAGTTGACTTTTTCAAGTTAGAATACTAATCATAGTCCTACAATAACATTGTTAGGCCTAATCTCAACATGTTAATGAAAGCTTAAGAACAAGGTACGATTGGGTAGATAGATTTTTCGATCAGTTTCTACTTTTGAGATGATCGTCATTTCTACTCTTCAAGATATGGTTCTACAGTCCATCGTTATATATTTATACGTATCATTCCTGTTTTATATACATGTAATACAAGAGTCTTCAGCTTAATAGAGTTCATGTAATATGATGAGCCTGACTTTGCTGTCATACTCCATCGGTTTCCTTCATTTTCTTGAAATAAGAAAAGCCACTAATTGAATCTTTTTATGTAGAGAGTCCTTGTTTTCCTCTTACTCATCATAATATTCTACTGTTTCTTATATTATATTTCTCAACTTCGGTTAGATAGTAGAACACAAGTAAGCAGCATATTACTCTCCTTGATCGATAGACAATCATCATCTGGTTGCATCCAATATGGAAAGGGATGGTTCATTTGAACCAAGTGTAGATTAAACGTAGCAGCCCAATTGAGTTATCTCAAAATAAAATGATCAAGAAAATACAGGCCAGCAAGATTAAGCATGAATTTAAGCTTCACTAGAGCGAGCAGATGAAGGGTGATACGGAATTACATATGATGTTCTAACTGGAGCAGCAGCATCAGCACCATCACGAAGATGAGCACCTGAGGAAGGAAACAAGATAATGATGCTTTCAAATAGACCTTCCTAATCTTCTAAAACCAAAGTAAATTCTTTGACAGAACTCACCTCTGCTTCTTGATACCTGCTGAACAGAATCACAGGCACACCATGGATCAACAGGTATGTGTTCCTCATACGATCTCGATGATGAAAAATCATCAACCACTTCCCGTGGCGGAAAACAAGACATAGGCAATGGAGGATGCCAATTTTCATTACTTGGGGGTCTCATTTGATTTCGATTATCCAAAATTTTGGTGTTTCCACCGTCCATCGGATGTGCCATTGTTCCTTTGCTCCGATCAATCGAGCAATCGGAGTAAAACGATGACCGGAACTGAAAGAATGGAGATAATTTCACCTGATTGGGGACATCAGACGTTCTCCTCGACGGAAAGAACACATTCACCTGATCCACTTTTATCTCAGCATGAACAGAGCCGAGCTGCCGTCCGAGACAAGAACCGAGTATTCCCCTCTCCCCATCCGATTCTTCCCCAAGGCGAGGCATCCTCCGAAACGGAGGACAAAAACCACCACCCTCGCCATGATCTCTCCTTCCAAGATTTCTCTCATCACCAACCTCTCGGCCGCCCCGCTGTCCTCTCCGACGAATCGGAGCACTTCTTGACCTAATCCGATAGGGACCGAAGCCACTGACAGACCGATCGCCTCCGTCGTAGTACGCGATCCGAGGCGGGATCACGCCGGCGGGACTCCGCTCGAACGGACTGGGGTAGCGGCGGGCAAAGAAGGACGAGTGGAGGGTGGAAATCGAGGCCGGGGTGCGGGACTCGTCGGTGGAGGTAGTGTGTTTGTTGTAGCTGACGACGCCGCTGCCGTCCCCGACGTTGATGGGGGCGCCAGGGTCCTCGGGAAACGGGAGCTTCCTCCTGGCGGGTGGCGGCGGCGCGGCGCTCCTCGGGTGCAGGCGGCTGACCCAGGAGGAGCAGAGGGTTCCGCGCCGCTCGTCATGGTGGTTGAAGGAGCCGCCCTCGCGGCCACCACCGGTCCCGCACCCGACGGTAGTGGTCTTGCTGCCTACGGAGCTCTTCAGAGATGAGGGGAATGGATTAATAGACATAAATGAACACGGAAGAAGCAGCAACAAAGGAAGGAGGAGCCTCCCATCCCGTTATATTTAGATAAGGGGTCTTCTTGCATATTAGTACCTCAGTTCTCTTACTTTTCCACTTAGGTACTCTGATATATATATATATATATAGGTGATTGTGCAGTGCAGAAAAAGAAAATTTATTACGCATATTTAATAAAAAATAACTTCAACAATAACTTACTACAAATAAAATATACATCTGCATAAAGATGTCAATTATACAGGTAAAGATAATGCAACAACCATTAGAGGCAGAACAGAAACCATCAGACTTATTACTAACCTACTGGAAGTGCTAAGAGCCCAGAATTGGTCCAAAGGAAAAATTAAATCCCACAAGACAAAGAAGCAGTATCCAATTTACCCAACCAAATTCACCAGTAGTTTCGGTTTCATATTCATATTTCATTTCCAGTACTCATGAGCTCCCAAACTAAGTGCCACCACATGAGGAGGGATCTGTAAACCACTGCTAACAAGATGCTCGTGTTAGTCATATATATTAAGAAGCCTTTGAATCAAGCTCGAACACTCATTTCTGAGTTCTCCTTGATGCATAGAGAGAATTCATTGAGGCATTAGAAAGCTGATAATTGGTGTAATGCCGATGCTAGGAAGTTGGCCGAACACTGATGGCTTGCTATACACAACCTTGTGGACCAGGAGGCATCCAGTGAAGAAGTAGCACTTTCATGAAAGATCCCTATCATTAATCATGTGTATTTGAGAAAATAGAATAGAACAGAAACAAACTGGAAAAAGAAAATTACATTGCCTAAACGTTTCCGGTTACATTTCTAAAGCAGCTATTCTTCAGAGTGATTAAGAAGATGTACACTAACCCCAGTTGCAGCTTTGAAATCTTTGCACCCAGATGTATACTCCTTTTAACTTGGATCGTGTTGACTATGCAAATCATTTTGGAGGTATCAGGTTTCTTTCACAGAATTTCCTTTCACTGGCTGTCTTGATGCCAGTTCGCCAATTCTTGTCCCTGCAATGTAGCCACCACTCCAAGCATTCTGGGGAGAAAATAATTTTACAGATGATTGAATGGAAACCATAATAACTTGCAAAATACACAACATCAAGACAGACCAAGCAGGATGTGATAACTCTTGCATCGAATATTATCCAGAATTCAATTCTGGCAAACTTAGTTCCAGCAATGTTCATGGTTCAGATTTTAAGACCAGAATTACAGCCAGGAGCACATTTTTTTCTGTATACTTTTTCCAAACTATGCATGTGGTCTCATTCATTGAACTACAATTTCATGGCTCAAAGTACATCTTTTTCATTTCAGCCTTTTATGTTTCCTCTTTTTCTCAATCATATTAAAAAATTTGCAGTTCACCTCCAAAATAACGAATAAATTTATCGAGAATCAATTAAATGTAACATCAAAAATTAAAATGTTTATTCACAGTTCTTTTATGCCGGTAAGCTTGTGAACATATTTACTTCCAAAATTACAAGAGTTTGACTTCAAGACAACCGTCTTAATCTGAGTTTCCACAATTTTCATGAATACCTTCATATGCTTTAGAGACTATTAATGAAATGATTTTGTTCCATTTTCTACACTCAATATTACACACTACAGACACTGAAGGAATTCTTATGTATGAAAATAGCCAAAGCATGCATCTGTGAAGTCCTAAGCTACCCATTAAAGCTATGAGAGCTTTTAGAATATAAATAGCCATCGATTGGATATTTAGTAAACAAATATTAGTTTGAATCAATGAGACCATAAATGTGTTTAAAGTACTTTCAACAACAGTGATACTTCATATATGACTTAAAACTATGAGAAATGTACATCAGAAAAGCAAACAAACAATTTGGGAAATCAGAGCTAACATATAGGATTTTTGAAAGCTCCAGAGATCTGCATCCAGCATTTAGCTCCAGACACTGGTAATTGCTTTGATAAATGAGGCGGTCATTCCTAATGATATACATGAATAAACTACCAATCAACCAAATCATGAAGACCTTATGGCTATTGCTCGCAGTTCATTGAGGCAAATGCAAGGCACCACTACTCTTTTAACTTCAGGTACAAACGTTGCAACTCGCAACAAAATATAATTGTCGGTTCAAATATAATCATGGTCATCTGATAATTACCTGAAAGTTAAATCCACCAGTAATTCCGTCTACATTTAATATCTGCAACAGAGTCCAAATCTAGTGATGTATTTCATCAAATAAATTGCTAAACAAGCAATAGAAACTCAATATGTTACCTCCCCTGCAAAGAATAGGTTTGGCCTCATCTTGCTTTCCATGGTATTAATTGATACCTGAAGAGTAAATAATAGAAAAAGGAAAAAAAGAAATAACATAAAATACTCCTTTTTGTTCCAAGAAACAGAAACCAAGGCACAAACCTCAGATAGTGGAACACCTCCAGCAGTGACAAATTCATCTTTAAATTGACCCTGCATAGGTGACAGAGCTTCTAAATAACATCAACTAGCAAAATTTCACTGAAAATTTGCAAAATTTATGATTGCAATACAAATTGAAGAAGACCATGACAGACTTTTCCTGCTATTCCAAATGGGCATTGCTTTAACAATAGAGCTATGGAATTCAAATGGTTATTTGAAATAGAAGCCCATAATATATCTGCATCTAAACCCTGAAAAGAGAGGACCATGTTGGTTCAGAAGATTGAGTATATTAACAATTCAAGTGAAAGATGGTATATATATGTCACAAAACCTCGCGTTCCAGTAAATATCTCCAAAATCGTTTTACCAAGTTGAACTTTGTAGGAAACGAATTACATGCCTTAGTTTTCTGCAATGAACAACAACAGTCATCAGGTCAAAAAAAGACCCATAAGATTCTATGCTGAAGCTTGACAACATTATTTATGTTACCAGTCATAATACCAAAAATAAAGTTCAGAAGTGAAACAAAAAATATTCCAAAAATGTAAAGCATAACATGTGATTCACGTGACAGGTGGTTACTTACACAATAGCATTAAGATTTACAGTGGATTGTGCACTTGAATAATTAAAGAGGTCAACAAAAGTCTAGTTGCACAAGACTTGAGCTGAGTGATACTTATGATTATATCCCTTTGTGGCTGTCACAAGAAGAACATATATCTCAATTTTTAAAATATATATGGTTGTAGTGATGAAGACAAAAAAAAAAAAGTGGAAAGCAAGGCACTAGAACCAATCACATATTGTTTTTTTGGGAGCAATAAAATATCCTTCTTTTGGAAAATAATATATTGTCTTTGACCATCATGAGATATGGCCATCTATAATGAATACCAATGACTAGTAGAAAAATGTCAAATTGAATTATGTTTAAGCTCAAATAATTGTAAACAGAGTGTGAAAGTACTGATGCCTCACCAATAATATTGCACATGAGGAGGTCTTAAAGCATAAATTCAATTGCATTAGTTCAATTTGAGTACAGTGTACTGCGAAAATCAAAAACAAATTTGGAGATTTTACTGACATATGGCAGCTGCCACAGCCCAGTTGTCAATGGGATAATTGGTTATGTTGCCGAAGTAAAGATGAGTCTAAAACTTATCCTAAGCATTCTGTTCATCTTGACATATATACAGAAATGGACAAATACAGAAAAAAAGAAAGAGGCAAAAGAAGCTTTACCTAAAAAACAGAAGAAAAAAAAAGCAAATAAGGAATAGCCCACTAGAACTCGCGACCACATTAAAGAGACAATAGCAGCTTCCTAGGTAAAAGATAAGAGTTGCAGAAGAAACCGTACTGCAAGCTGGTCTTTGTGCTGGCAAAGGATGTACTTCACATCCTCTAAATGAATGTCAGGTACAAAGTCTACCAAAAGTATTCCTGTTTTGAAATTCAATCAACAACTGAGAACATTCATATATATTGCACATGTATAAGAAAAATAGCATGTCCTGCACATGTGCAAAACAATTATATACAATTCATATGGGATCTAAAAGAAAACAATTACGCCCAAAGGTAACAAGGGGCATTCAAGATAATTTTGTTGTCCTTATTAGTGGTTAATTCTACTTAGCTATGGGTTTCATAGAGTAATAAGGCTATCGTAATGATTTGATCAAAACTGATTCCATGCGCTCTGTGAAGATATTCTCATGTGATGCTGATGCCCCTTTGTCACGGACAAAATTGTAAACAGGGTGTTTGATGTAATGCTTATGTATGTTCATGTCTTTCGGTTTTGTTTATGCTTTGCACAGCATATAAAGGGCTGGAAGTAGACTTAACAGCCCTATTTTCTTTAGTTTTGGTGGCCGACCAAGGCTTGCAAACAAAGGTTGTGTCATGTGGGCACTTGTGAAGATTTCGGTCTGTAGTGGACCATTTTGGACCCTTTGTTGTGCGACCGTTCAAAGCTTGTAAAGTCTGTTTGTAATTTGCATTGGCTATGAAGTGTTTACTGAAATGATTGCTTGTGGATCCCGAGTAAGATGCTTTCTCTAACCCGTTTTTTCTTTTGTAGGTCCTAAGGGACTATAGGAGGTTTCGGGGAAGTTGACATTCGCCAACGGATACGCAAGGATGCCGCACAACTTAGGTAAAAGCAAGTAAGTCCATGAATATGGTATCAGAGCGGGACAAGCACTCATAGAAACACTTGGCATGCAAACGTGGGGGACCTAGCAGGGCTGCGTTGAGGGCAGCCAGCACGCGCGACCATTTGGGGGAAAATGGGCATGAAGATATAGGGAAAATGAGTCGCTCAAAGGAGCAAGCATATGAGATTGCCATTCAGAGGAATAGTCAACCCTTCGCGCAAGAGGCACCAAGAGGACAAGCAAGCTGGGAAGAATACATAACGCATAAAGGTTGGGATGGTTGAGTTTGAGCTATGGCTCGACGTTGACAACCATACTTGATGGTGCTCAAGGCAAGCGAGACGCTTGGTAAAGGATGAGACCATGCAAGGTGGGATAGGTTATTCAGCGATTGAAAGAGTTGTGCAAAGCTCACAGAGGTGAGGGGAATTGCTAACTCGAAGAATTCGGTACTCATGCAAGGGCTTGTATGTGAACGATAGAATGTTCGTGACCATCCCAATGCGACCGAAACTCGGCGCCATAGAGCATTGAAACTTTCTCTTCAACATGAGAAATATACGTTCGTATAAGGCTAAAGTGTGCAGTAAGTTCAGCATATTGCTAGGCCTTGAGGGGTGCAGCAGGGGTTGAATTAGCGAGGAGTCTCAATCTAGCAAGTGCATTTGCAGGGCAGAACAATGCACAGTTTGTTCAGCAAGGCAGAGTAGTCCAAGGGGGTGGTGGTCTCTGAAACTTTCAGAGGGAAGGATGCGAAGAAAGAAGTTGCTCCAACGGGATAGATACCTTGGAGGGATAAGTCTCGGTTCTCCAAAGGGAAAATCATGCGCAATGGACCGCACATGTTGAGGAGGAGTACCTCAAGACAACAATCCCACAAAGCTCAACGTACTAAGCGAGTGGCGAGGAGTCATCACATGATCTCGTATGAGATAATACATTGGGGGATGCATTGCGAGATTAAGTGGGGGAGTGACCCAAGGCAACACAAATGAAGGCACACTTGGAGCCGAAATAGAGATCAGACTCAACAAAGAGTTGACCCGTGGAATGGTGGGCGCGAAGGCCACCATTAACTCAATGCAAACCGAGGAGTGGAGCAACTTGGGTGTAAATTGGTGAAGGACCCAAGCCACATGAAGGGAGTTGGTATAGAAAATGGAACATAGAGCGAAGGCACGAAGCTTTCCTTGGATAAAAGTCTAGGACATGAACTCTTGCAGAGGCAAGAGTGGGATCATGTCATTCCATGGATCCCTCATTCTGATGGAGCGGACTCATCCTGCATGATGCCAAAGACGAAGAAAGCTTTGAGGCACATGCACCTTATCTTGAAGAAGCATTTGACAGAGGAACTAAGGCGACTCAACTTGCGGAGGCGAAGTTGGGTTCAGAAGGCCTTGGCATGGGGCAAGAGGATGCTAAGGCAGGTACTCTTGAAGAATATTCCATAGTATTGTCATTCAAGTTGCCATGAAGGAAGCGGTGCGTAGCGGAGATTGTATCGGTAAGGGCAGAGGCCTAGGATCCAGACAATGGTACGCCAATTTCAGCAAAGTTGGTGGACTTCGAGAGCTACTAGGTGATGGACTGTCCTAAAGCATTCGTCTAGGTGTGACCCGAGAGCGGGTTGTCACGGACAAAACTGTAAATAGGGTGTTTAAATGTAATGCTCATGTATGTCCATATCTTTTGGTTTGTTCATGCTTTGCACAGCATGTAAAGGGATGGTCGAAGGCTTAACAGCCCCATTTTTGTTGGGTTAGTGGTCGTTTTAATCTTGTAAATAAAGGTTGTGTCATGTCGACACTTGTGAGAGATATTCGGTCTGTAGTGGATCATTTTGGATCATTTGTTGTGCGACCGTTCAGAGTTTATGAAGTTTGTTTGTAATTTGCATTGGTTATGAAGTGTTTCCTAAAATGATTGTTTGTGGGATCCCAAGTGAGACGCTTTCTCTAACATGTTTTCTCTTTTGTAGATCCTAAGGGACCATAGAAGGTTTTGGAGAGGCTAACCTTTGCGGACGGATATGCCACACGACTTAGGCAAAACCAGCTAAGTCCGTTACAGATGGTATCAGAGCAGGACAAGCACTCATAGAAACACTTGGCATACAAACGTGAAGGACCTAGCAGGGCTGTGTTGAGGGCAACCAGCATAGGCAACCGTTTGGGGGAAAATGGGCATGGAGATGTAGGGAAAATGAGTCGCTCAGAGGAGCGGGCATTTGAGATTGGCATTCAGAGGAATGGCCAACCCTTCGCGCAAGAGGCACCACGAGGACAAGCAAGTTGGGAAGAATGCATAGCGCACGAAGGTTGGGATAGCTGAGTTTGAGCTACGGCTCAATGTTGGCAACCATACTTGATGGTGCTCAAGGCAAGCAAGGCGCTTGGTAAAGGATGAGACCATGTAAGGTGGAATGGGTTGTTCAACGACCGAAAGAGTTGTGTAAAGCTCATAAAGGTGATGAGAATTACTAACTTGAAGAATTTGATACTTATGCAAAAGCTTGTTTGCGAACAATGGAGTGTTTGTGACTATCCCAAGGCGACTGAAACTCGGCGCCATGGAGTATTGAAACTTTCTCTTCGGCATGAGAAGGATACATCCGTAGGAGGCTGAAGTGTGCAGCGAGTTCAACATGTTGCTATGCCTTGAGAGGTGCAGCGGGAGCTGGATTGACATAGTGTCGCAATCTAGCAAGTGCGTTTGTAGGAGGCAGAATAATGCACAGTTTGTTTAGCAAAGCGGAGTAGTCCAAGGGAATGGTGGTCTCCGAAACTTTCAAAGAGAAGGAAGCAAAGAGATAAGTTGCTCTAACGAGATAGATATCTAGGAGAGATAAATCCCGGCTCTTCAAAGGGAGAACCATGTGCAACGGACCGCATATGTTGAGGAAGAATACCTTAAAACAACTTCACAAAGCTCAACGGACCAAGCAAGTGGCGAGGAGTCATCGCATGATCTCGTTTGAGATAATGCATTACGAGATCAAGTGGGGGAGCGACCCAAGTCACACAAGATGAAGGTACACTTAGAGTCTATATAGAGATTGGACTTATTGAAGGACTGACCCGTGGAATAGTGGGTGTGAGGACCATCATCAACTAATGCAAATCGAGGAGCGGAGCAACTTGGGTGTAACTTGGCGAAATACCCAAGCCGCATGAAGGGAGTCGACATAGAAGATGGAACATAGAGCGGAGGCACAGAGCTTTCCTTGGACAGGGGTCAAGGACATGAACTCTTGCAGAGGCAAGAGCGGGATCATGTCGTTCCATGGGTCCCTTATTCTGATGAGCGGGCTCATCCTGTATGGTGCTAAAAACGAAGTGAGTTTCGAGGAACATGTACCTTACCTCGGAGAAGTATTTGATGGAGGAACTAAGGTGACTCAATTTGTCGATGCGAAGTTGGGTTCAGAAGGCCTTGGCATGGGGCAAGAGGACACGGAGGCAAGTACTCTTGAAGAATATGCCACAATGCTACCAATCAAGTTGTCATGAAGGAACCGGTGCACTGCGAAAATTGTGCTGGTAGGGGAAAGGGCCTAGGATCCAGACAATGGTGCACTAATTTCAGCGAAGTCGGTGAACTTCGGGAGCTACTAGGCAACGGACTGTCCTAGAGCGGTACTTCGTCTAGGTGTGACCCAAGAGCGGGTGGACGAAGGTCGATTGCCAAAGGAGTGAACACAATTGAAAGTGGAAGAGGCCTTGTGATGTTTTGGCAGAGGTCATACATGGAGGGATCACAATACGAGTTCATCCCACAAGGATCAGAGTGCAATGGAGATGTCACCAGAAGGCGACATGGTGCAGCGGATCGTGGTGAAACAGTTCGTGGCAACGCGATACACACGAATCTAGTCCCGTGAGGGACTATATCATATGGAGGTATGATCGGAGGCTACTAGGAGCTCCACTTCAGTGAACAACACGACGATAAGAAGGGCTATGGATTCAAGGAGTGAAAGCCACAGTACCACAAAGGCGGGTCTTCCGTGTGTGCATCGAATTTTGCATCGGACAAAAGCCTTGATCATCAGCATATGGGGGTTGTGTACCACCGAGAGAAAAGTTCGAATGCAAGTACCAGTGAGTCCCATGGGAGGGACTTGATCATGTAGAGGTACGATCAGAGCGGCTGGAGAGTTGGACTGCTCCAGAGCCCATATTCGCTTAAGGGAGCTCGACAAGTCAGAGGACAAGGCCGAGTAAGCGAACGTTGCTACTAAGGAAGCTAAGGAGAACAGAATCAATGCGAACCCTACAATATGATGGCAGAGGCCATGCATGGGAGTTGTAGTCTGTCTTTCCATCGACTAAGAGGAACTACTAAGAGAACACAGCGGTGTTGAAGCAGAGGGTCAAAAAGGGCGAGGAAGCGACAACGAGTCCAGAGGGACTTAGCTACCCCAAACCAAGCATCGGTTATAATGGAGGCGGACTTGGAGGAGTGCCACAGAGACGATATCTACCGATCGTGACGAAAGGGATGCAGATGTGAGGCAACATATAGTAGGGCCATGGGCATAGTAGCGCTATGGTACCACAAAGGCAAGACTTCCGTGAAGTCAACGATCTCTTGCTCTCATGAAGGGAGAGCGCTTGGTCGTGAAAGGGGCCGAGGAGATAGAGCATGCAAAGGTAAACTCCAAGTACCGAGACAAGGCTGAAGGGCAGAGGCCAGGGAACTTCGTAAGACCGGTGTCAACGAGCTTCTCATCAAAATAGCCGAAAGTAAAGGACTTCGAGTCGTGCAAGAGTGCACGACTAAGGAACGAAGCAGGCAATACGCGATGTTGTACCCTTGCTACTCAGTGGAGTAGGCGACAGGGTTGATAGAGAAGACGATACAATCCTAGCGGCGATCAAAACTTTTAAAGACTTACTTCAAGTTAGAGTGAAAACTTTCTGCATTCCAAAAGTTTGATGGCATTAAGAAGGTGAATCGCACTAGCTAACTCAACGCAAGAAGTGCAAACACTTCGAGTGCTTCAGAAGTGTGAGCAAAGAGCAGGTGAAGATCAGTAACCAGCTCGATGCATGAAGTACAACCCTCAAAGAGGCGGGCGAAGTCAAGTAACCTTTGTCTTCTCAATTCTTAAAAGAATGGGCGGAACCAAATACCCCAATTCTCTTAGCTATTCAGCAGATGAGCTTTGCATATGTTCAAAGACCCTTCAAAGAAACAAAATCAAAGACAATAGTTGTCAAATCATTACCAATGGTGATCAGTGCTACTGAGAGTAGATTATCCGCTTCATTTCCCAACAGAATGTCAATCGAAAGCAGAAGTGATGCGAACCTACTTGGAAGTGACAACTAAGTGAAAGAAGAGTCGATGGGTAAATTTTGTGGAGGAAGGACCCAAAAACTTCAAAAGTTTACGAGATGATGCTTGATAAAGCTCCAACAAGCATCCACCCAGTTCAAGCAGCATGAGGCATTTAAGAGACTAGCGCATAGTAAGGATGGTCTTTTCATTCATCTGAAGGATCCGCAGGAACCAACAGGGATCAACACAACTCAGCCAACCCCACACTAGAGCCAAAGTCATTGGCGAGTTGAAGCAGTATGGCGGATCAAAAGTTCGACTACTCAACAACAGCGGTGGAGAGCAGCTAAGAGCCAGGAAGCACATTGTAGCAAGGATAGAAGATTGAAGACTCGGCAAAGGTGAGGAGTTGCAGCGTCGACAAAGGCTTCGACGAGGATATTGAATAAATAAGTGGGGGAGAATGTCACGGACAAAACTGTAAACAAAATGTTTGAATGTAATACTCATGCATGTCCGTGTCTTTTGGTTTGTTCATGCTTTGCACAGCATGTAGAGAGACGGTCAAAGGCTTAATAACCTCATTTTAGTTGGGTTTGATGGTCATTTTAGGCTTGTAAATAAAAGTTGTGTCATGTGGACACTTGTGAGAGATATTCGGTCTGTAGTGGACCATTTTGGATCCTTTGCTGTGCAACCGTTCAGAGCTTGTGAAGTTTGTTTGTAATTTATATTGGTTATGAAGTGTTTCCTGAAATGATTATTTATGGATCCCAAGTGAGACGTTTTCTCTAACCCGTTTTCTCTTTTGTAGGTCCTAAGGGATCATAGGAGGTTTCGGAGATGCTGACCTTTGTAAACGGACACGCAAGAGTGCCGCACGACTTAGGCAAAACCAGCTAAGTCCGTGACAGGGTGGACGAAGGTCGATTGTCAAAGGAGCGAACACAATCGAAGGTGGAAGAAGCCCTGCAATGTTGTTGGCAGAGGCCACACATAGAGTGATCACAATTCGAGTTCATCCCACAAGGATCAGAATGCAATAGAGATATCACCAGGAGGCGACATGTTGTAGCGAAACGTGGTGGAATAGTTTGTGGCAATGCGATACATATGAATCTTGTCCCGCGAGGGACTAGATCATATGGAGGTATGATCGAGAGCTACTGGGAGCTCCACTTCGGTGAACAACACGACAGCAAAAAAGGCTATGGATTCAAGGAGTGAATAGCATGGTATCGCAACGGCGAGTCTTCCATGCGTGCATCGAATTTTGCATTGGATATAAGCTTGGTCATCAGCATATGGGGGTTGTGTACCACCGAGGGAGTATACTAAATGCAAGTACCAGTAAGTCCTATAGGAGGGACTTGATCATGCAGAGGTATGATCAGAGCGACTAGAGAGTTGGACTGCTCCAGAGCTCATATTCGCTTAAGGGAGCCCGACAAGTCAGAGGACAAGACCGAGTAAACGAACGTTGCTACGAAGGAAGCTAAGGAGAACAGAATCGGTGCAAACCCTACAACATGATAGCAGAGGCCATACATGGGAGTTGCAGTCTGTCTTTCCATCGACTAAGGGGAACTGCTTAGAGAACACATAGGTGTTGAAGTTGGGGGTCGAAAGGCGCGAGGAAGGGACGACGAGTCCAAAGGGACTTAGCTACCCAAAACCAAGCATCGGTTAGAATGAAGATAGACTCGGAGGAGTGCCACAGAGGTAGATCTACCGATCGCGAAGTAAAGGATGTAGATGCAAGGCGACGGATAGTAGGGTCATGGGCATGGCAACGCTATGGTACCGCAGAGGCGGGACTTCCGTGAAGTCATGGATCCCTTGCTCTCATAGAGGGAGAGCGCTTGGTTGTGAAAGGGGCCGAGGAGGTGGAGAATACGGAGGCAATCTCCAAGTACCGAGACAAGGCTGAAGGGCAGAGGCCAGAGAACTTCGTAAGACCGGTGTCAATGAGCTTCTCATCAAGATAGCCGAAAGTGGAGGACTTCGGGTCGATGCAAGAGTATACGACCAAGGAACGAAGCAGGCAGTACGTGGTGCTGTACCTTTGCTACTCAGTGGAGTAGGCGGCAGAGATGATGGAGAAGACGATACAATCCTAGAGGCGACCAAAACTATTAAAGACTGACTCCAAGTTGGGGTGAAAACTTCTTGCATTCCAGAAGTTTGATGGCATTGAGAAGGTAAATCACAGTAGTTAACTCAACGCAATGAGTGCAAATATTTTGAATTCTCCAGAAATGTGAGCAAAAAGCGGGCGAAGGCTAGTAACCAGCTCGATGCATAGAGTACAACTCTCGAGGAGGCGAGTGAAGTCAAGTAACCTTTGTCTTTTCAACTCTTAAGAGAATGGACGAAACCAAGTACCCCAATTCTCTTATATATCCAGCAAAGGAGCTCTGCACATGTTTAAAGACCCTTCGAAGAAACCAAATGGAAGATAATAATTGTCAAATCCTCACCAATGGTGATCAGTGCTACTGAGAGTAGATTATCCGCTTCATTTCTCAACAGAATGTCAATCGAAAGTAGAAATGATACGAACCTATTTGGAAGTGACAACTAAATGAAAGAAGAGTCAATGGACAAATTTTGTGGAGGGAGGACCCAAAAACTTCAAAAGTTTATGAGGCGATGCTCATTAAAGCTCCAACAGGCATCCACCTAGTTCAAGCGGCATGAGCAATTGAGAGACCCATGCATACTAAGGATGGTCTTTTCCTTCATCTGAAGGATCCGCAGGAACCAACAGTGATCAACACAACTCGACCAACCCCACACTAAAGTCAGAGTCATTGGCGAGTTGAAGCAGCATGACGGATTCAAAGTTCGACTACTCAACAATAGCAGCGGAGAGCAACTGGGGACCAACAAACGTATTGCAGCTGGAGCAAAAGATTAAATACTTAGCAAAAACGATGAGTTACAACATCAGCAAGAGCTTCGACGAGGACGTCGAAGGAATAAGTAGGGGAGAATGTTACGGACAAAATTGTAAACAGGGTGTTCGATGTAATGCTTATGTATATCCGTGTCTTTTGGTTTTGTTTATGCTTTACACAGCATATAAAGAGTTGACAGTAGGCTTAGTAGTTGGGTTTAGTGGCCGACCTAGGCTTGCAAACAAAGGTTGTATCATGTGGGCACTTGTGGGGATTTCGATCTATAATAGACCATTTTGGACCCTTTTTTGTGCGACCGTTCAAAGCTTGTAAAGTTTGTTTGTAATTTGTATTGACTATGAAGTGTTTACTGAAATGATTGCTTGTGGATTCCGAGTAAGACGCTTTCTCTAACCAGTTTTCTCTTTTGTAGGTCTTAAGGGACCATAAGAGATTTCGAGGAGACTGACCTTTGCGGACAGACACGCAAGGGTGCCGCACAACTTAGGCAAAATCAGCTAAGTCCATGACACCATGGTGGATGGAAAACTTTTGTAAAGATAGCATATTGTCAATTTTGTTAGGGTTGCTGGTTGGCTCCATACCGGATAACTGAATACCCCACAACCTCTCTGACACTACCAAAACTACCCATTCCTCCTTTTCTTAGTTTCGGAATTTTGTAACCTAGAGCTTTTTTGTTTTACCTCTCCTTTTAAAAAAATAAAATATAATAAGTGAGCTTCACACATCTGTTCATACTTTCTGGGATTAATGATCTTGTTTTTTGTTATATGCTTGTTATATAACAGAATTAAATCAAGAAAATAAATATGAATATAAAATGTACAAAGATTATCCTTAAAAGCAGTATCAACTATCATAATCAGGATAGATATATATTCTCGACACCTCACCCCAGAATTGACTAAAGAATAAAACATCAAGAATAACACTTGTTTTTCATTTGACTATTCATAACAGTATATCTGAAACTATTACCTATTTACCTGTATAATTGGAAAGGAAGAGTTCGCGTGCTCCCCAAGCAGATAAGCGGAGAATTACAGGCCCACTAAGACCCCAGTGGGTTACTAGCATAGGTCCAACCTACAGAACTCAAATAATATATTGGAAAAATGTTCAACATTTATGATAAATGAACTTACAGAAGTACATGCCTGTGTATATTCAGGTAAGTTTTTCTGGATACTTTTCAATTTCAACTTTGCTTTAACTCTTGGGAATGTGACCTATTACCACAAAAAAAGGCAATATGAAAAGAAAAAGAAATACAAATGGCATATGAGACCAAAATTACAAGGTGATCTTGCATGAGAAATTCAATTTTCAAAGATAACCTCGACATGGACAAAAATCACTAAAAGATTACCAATTCAGAATTACCCCAGATAAACTTGGCAATTGTGTGTCCTCAATTTTAAATGTGAATAAGCTAGGTACTGGATCTATGATAGAATGACCAAGTTGCGCAGCAATTTTGTAACCCTGCAAAATAATTACAACTGCATGTAACATCCCTAGTCCAATTCTATTTGCAATTAATAGAAGTATGTCCAACCTGTTGGCTGCTACCCGTGGCCATTAGTACATAATCAGCTTTAATGTATTCAACAAAATTCATAGTGCGTTTCTCCACCTTCAGAAGAAACTGTTCACCATCAATCAATGACACATCTGAAACGGTTTTTCCAATCTGCAGTACAACTTAAAAAGAAAATTTATATCAAGTATACATGAAGTTAGAATGTACAAAGCATGTTGCACTATAGTAGGGATATTCAGAGACAAAAAACATACAACTAAGTCAGGAAACATAAATTAATGATTGCATAAAATTTCATGAAAGAGTGGAGGTTTGATATGATAATACAGAAGTAGATTAAGCAATTTGTTGAAATATTGCCAAACTATGTTCATCAGTTTGTACAGGCTTCTTGATTTTCTAACTTCACTTATGTTAACAATGAGATAGATGATGTATCAAGCATTATAAAGGGAATGCATAGACTGCTGGATGGCCACCGATCAACTAGCAAGACCAAGTCATGGGTGAATGGTTAAGCAAAACCTTTGAAAAAGAAAACGGTAAAATAAATATGCGACATGTACCAATTAACCCATACCTGTAGTTATATTCATAGTATGATTAGTTTCAAGTGAAACATAAGTCAAACTCAGATAAGACTCATGAATTGAGATTCAATTCACTTCAAGTTAGTTGAATAGTGTTCCGTACCTCCTCTCCAATTATCAACACCCAAGGACTTGACCGTAAAAAGTATACAAGAATTGCTATAATTCTTGCATTTTTAGAATCCTTGCATGGTAAGACACTGTTATGACGTCGATCATTTTATTCCATTCAATTGGTTTATTCCTTCAGATACTCATAAGTTTTACCAAGTATTTAAGTTTGATGTTTATGAATGTTCCTTTACTAATTAGTACTGTGTTACTCTAAATATCTTATTGCTTTCGTCTTTCACATCTTCTTGATGTCTAATTATTGTGTTGCATACCCAAAAACAAGCATCAACAGTAGTAATATAAATTTGTCAAGTTTGTAATATATAACTAATTATGGTAGACCGGTAGTATCACTTACCCAGTAAAAAAATAACTGTAGCAGTATTATTATCGTGATTGAGGATGAACAGTAACCCTTACAGGTGAAAAGACATACCTCCACGACTTTTTGCTTCACTGAGAAGGCAATCCACTATAGATGCTGAGCTGTTGCTGACGGGGAAAACTCTTCCATCCTCTTCCGTCTGAACTTTTTATAAAAATAAAATGAAAGAATTATCTTAATAATGTGAATCTTCACAAAGATATGTAGGACAGAATGGACTCTGTGTTAATTTTTACAACCTTAAGCTCAACTCCACGATCAGAGAACCAGCGTATTGTGTCCTTTGGTCCATGAATATTGAAAAAGGAGCCCCGCAGTTCTCTATTTCCTCTAGGATAATTATCCGCCAGTCCCTGTAATTTGCAGCAAATAAGCCCAGAAAATTCTAGATATACCATAATCAACTAAATTCCATCATCATTCACTCTCATAGTCTCATTACAGGGTATATGCTTGTCACAAATTTATTTTAATAAAATTCTGCAACATAAAGTGACAGAGAAATGTCTTATTAACACAGTCTACAACATTTTTCTGGTGCCTCACCGCTGAGTCAAAAAAAAGCCCATTTGTTACATTACATCGGCCTCCACCAGAAATTTTAACCTACAGTTAAAAGCAAATAAAGTTAAATGAGGAACAATGATCTAAAACATGAAATATGCATACTTATTTAAAACATTATACTATGACTTTGACGGATAATTTAAATTGTGATTTATTTATTTATCTGATCACCTATTTGGCATATTCAACTTCATCAAGACATTTTAGAGTATACTTGCCAAAAAGTATCCTCTATTCCATATGCAATTTTTTACAACACTTCTTCCGTTATCCCAATAAGCTTTGTACTTATTTTTCAGATCATATAGGTGCCCAACAATTTGTAATGCAGCACAATGTCAAGACAAGCCTCACAAAAGACTTTGTGGTAGGGTTACCAAAACACCATTTCAGCAATTACGATCAATAAGGCATGAAAGACATAAAGACAAGTCCAAGAAGAACTTGAAATTATACCAGGTTTCAGAACCAAAAACCTATTTTTCTCTCTCTGAAAGACTGAAACCATATCTTTCACTTGGCTAAAAGACCCATAAATCTTTGACTTTCTGATGTAGAAATATCTTCCATTATGAGAAACCCAAAAAGGACACCCACATGCTACATGGAAAAATGAAAAAAGTGACAGCATGATGTAGAAACATCTTCCATTCAGAGGAACACAAAAGGGATACCCACATGCTACATGGAAAATTTTTTAAAAAAAGGACAGCACAGTGCATAAGCTCTTACCAATGCATTTTGACAATATCATTTGACTAAAGCGTAGACTAAAGCATTTGAATAGCATCATCTACCTTCGCTAATGGCTTCCCCTTCTCAATAACCAGCACATTAAGATGTGGTGCTATAAATTTAGCTCTTAGTGAAGCATAGACTCCAGACGCACCACCACCTACCACCACCAACAATTGTTCATTTGCCTACAAAGCAGAGGTAACTATTAGAACAGATTCTGTAGCCATGAAGAACCAACAACTATCATCACTGTCATGGTTCTTTGATCAGGCCATAAGAAAATCCACCTTATCATCCATAATCAGCTCTACCACGACCTATGCTGAAGCACAGTGATAGATAAAGAGAAGAGAGCGATAGTTTTACTTGTTGAGCCATTGTTATAAGTGGAGAAGAACTGAAGCGCTTTCTGCGATGACAGAGCAGCATGCTGCTACTCCTACCAAAATACGAGGCTCCAATGGAATTCCCAAAGTGAAGGACGCTTCCAAGACCCAAGCTCGTCATGCTGGCGTTCACTCAAACGATCACCGAGCACCCTTCAGTGAAACTGAGCCAGCCAAGGGCGGACAAGCAAGAACAAATCTGCAACCTACTTATAGAAACAGCAGAATTAGCGTTTCCATACCGCCTTAGCTCAGAAAGAGTGGACTTGTCGCTGCGGCATATCTTCGAACGATTGTGGAGCACGCGTCTATGAACTAAGCTACCTAAGGAGGAACAGGGGACAAGAGCTGACAATTAGAGCAAGGTACTCAACTAGAGAAAGCAACGTTGTCTCATTTCACCTTAGCAAAAGAACAGCCTTCGCACGCGGCATTCCTTCAAACAAGTACTGAGCACGCGTCTGCAAACACTGCCACCAAGGAAAAGGAAACGGAGAATGGAGAAGGAAGATCAAGGATGCATGAACAACCCTACACCGCGAACGAGAAAATCAACAACAGCACGCACATTTCACATTGGGCCAAAAAGGGCAAAACAAGGGCGTCACCTGGCTGTGGGACGGACGACAGCCTTCCATGATATATCAACAAAACACAAGCCACAATATTCTAATTATTCAATATCGACTACGTCGATTTATTCCATAACATATATAAATAAATCTGACAATAATTGGTTCATTTATAATTATTATTTTATTTTAATACATCAATATATATATATATATATATATATATATATATATATATATATATATATATATATATATATATATATATATATATATTGTTAAGATCGAAATCGACATTAAAAGAGGGGGTGAATTAGTCCTTACATAAAAACGTCGGTGATTTGAAAATCTTTGTTCAATAAAATTATATCGGAAATGCGTTTGAACTTAGAGAAAGTCTGGAGTGAGCAGCCAAAATAATAAGCAAAATAAATAAAAGTCAAAGAAAAGAAGGTACACTAATTTTATAGTGGTTCGGTCATCGTGACTTATATTCACTCTCGATTTCTCCTCCGTTGAGGTCATCAGCTTTCACTATTGATCTTCTTTCAATGGGTGAAGATCAACTACCCTCTTAAAGCTCTATTCTCTTTTTTCACAAGTTTAGGAGATAACCTTTATCGTTCTCTTGGCCCTCCCTTAAACAAAAATTACACTTATAACATCATTTTCTCACTTAGATCATAAGATTTTTGTTGACTTTTCATACTTTTATATGCAGAAATGATTAGGGTATTTTGAGGCCCCAAATGGCTTCAAAAATGGAGTCAAAATATGTCTCATCCTAGGTTCCAGAATACTAGCGATACCACCATCATTATTGGACGATACCATCGCATGACAACCCTACTCTGGCGGTACTATCGCTAGTTTGAGAGGTATGATCACCTGATAGAGCCTTGAAGACTAGGCTCTGGTGGTACCACCATTTGTCAGGCGATACCACCACCCGACAGCATTAAATACCAACGGTACCATCGCTAAACAGTACTTGGGAAGCCAAGCCTCAAGTGGTTCCACCACTAGCCCTAGCGGTGCTACTGCTTAACATGGGTCCAAGTCACTGAATGGGTCATCCATCCGACCTAATTTAGCCCTGATTCAGGCCTAGTTGGCCCTTAATTGAGTTAGTAGGATTTTTCTCAAATTAACTTAATTGATACCTAACTATGATAACTAAGGCTAAAACAATTACAATACTAGCAATCTCAATTGTTTGGCATGTCTATTGTTCATCCAAACTTCCGATGAACTTCCGACAAACTCTAGGCGAACTCCCGACGAATTCCTAGCGAGCTTTCGGTGCATCGTTCGAACCTTTGGCATAATGCTCGATCTATCCGTTCTCGACACATTGTCCAATTCTTCCGACCGGATGCCCGATCTTTAACTCTGGCCCAATGACCAATTCTCTAATTGTTTTACATTTTCATGATCATAGTTAGTCCTACATCATTTTTCTCAACACATGGATTAGATCATAAATTAATTGATTTCAGCATCAAAATTCGATATTCGAGAATCTCCCCCTTTTTTATGATGACAATCAATCGATGACAGAGTTAACCTTAACTCCCCCTATCTATATGTCATATCCAAATAAATTAAACTTGAATTCAAAAAGAAAAATAACTTTTGAATTTAAATGAAATAATTTTGATCATATTGCATCATATCAAAATTTCATACATTATGTATCATAGTTTCAAATTATCAAAATGTAAGATACACAATTTCAAAACATTACAACTCATCGTCACTTCATGCATGATACAAAAAATAAGTCAACATTACTTTAGGCATAATTCATCATTACTTATTACTTCTCCCCTTTTGTCATCAACAAAAAGGAGAAAATCATAACAAGTAATTGATTTATGCAAGCTAGTATTTCAACAAGTTTTACACCGTTTAGAATATGCAAGTTAGTGAGTTTTTGAAATTCGAAGTTAAGCAAATTTTTTGCTTCTTGATATGTGCAAGATAGCAACATTTGCTTCTTATACGAGCAAGCTAGCATTTCTCTTTCGATGTGCAAGCACTTTTGATTCTCTTGAGATGTACAAGCTAGCATTTTTTGTGTTCTCTCCTTTGCCATCAAAAAATAAGAAGATGAAGAAGAAGAAGAAGAAAGGAGAAATTCTTTCATCGTATAAAGAAAAGAATCAAGTCATAAGTTCCAAAAGTCCATGAATCAAAGTTCTACTTTCTTAAATAGAAAGAAGAAGGATTTATAGAAAATAATCATCATATAAAATATCAAGTATACCAAAAGTCCATGAATCAAATCTCTTCTTTTGTATATTGCAAGAAGAAGGAATGAGTACAATGTAAGAAGAATAAATGATAGGTAACGATCTCGATTTAAAAAGAAAACTCAAGTTATAAAAATCGAGAAATCTAAAAAATGTATAAGAGGAACTCATGTATTAGGAAGATTTAACATGCCTAATTCTCTTCTAATAGAATTAAATTATTCTTCATTCAATAGTTTTATAAAAATATTAGCTAATTGATGTTTTGTATTAATAAATTATAAATATATATCATGGTTATTAATGTGATCTATAATAAAATGATGCCTAATGTCGATATGTTTAGTTCTAGAGTGTTGAACGGGATTTTTTGTTAAACATATTATACTAGTATTATCATATTTTATAGAAATATTTTTTAAATATAGTCTATAATATTCTAAATTATTTTTTATCTAAATAACTTATGCACAACATGCACTTGCAGCTATATATTCAACCTCGGTTGTAGATAATACAACCGAATTTTGTTTCTTAGAAGATCAAGAAACAAGTGAATAACCTAAGAGTTGATATATTCTAGATGTGCTTTTTCTATCTATTCTATATCTAGCAAAATCAGCATCGGCATAAGCAATCAATTCAAGAATTTTAGTTTTTGGATACTATAATCCTAGATTAGGTGTTCCTTTTAACAGCTTTTAAGTGAGATTGCTTGGAATTAGATTGAAATCTAACACACAGTCCAATACTAAACATGATATTAGGTCTAGTTACTATGAGGTAGTAAACTACATATCATACCCCTATAATTTTTTTATCAAAACATTCTCCATCAATATCCATATCTATCTTTGTAGAAGTGTTTATTAGTGTATTAATAGCCTTAGCACTGTGTATATTAAATTATTTTAATAGATCTAAGGCATACTTATTTAACTAATAAAACTTTCATCACTTAATTACTAAATTTGTAATCCTAAACAAAAGTTAATTCACCCATTAGGCTCATTTCAAATTCTTGGCACATACTCTTGACAAACAATTCACATAAGGTTTCATTTGAAGAACCAAAAATGATATCATCAACATAAATTTGAACAATGAGAAAATTATTTTTAAAATATTTAATAAATAATATAATATCGATCTTGCCTTTTATAAAATTATTTAGAATAAGGAAAGAACTAAATATCTCATACCAAGCCCTAGGGGCTTGTTTTAACCCATAGAGAGTCTTAGATAACTTAAAAAATATGGTTAGGAAAGAAAGCATTTTCAAATCTAGGTGACTACTCAACATAAACTTCTTCAAAAATAAAGCCAGTTAGAAATGTACTTTTGACATCTATTTGAAATAACTTAAAATTATTCAATATGCATAGGCAAGGAGAATCCTTATGGCTTCAAATCTAGCCATAGGAGCAAAGGTTTCTTCATAATCGATACATTCTTCTTAGTTGAAACATTTGGCTACTAATATAGTCTTATTTCTAACCATGATACCAAGTTCATCTTGCTTGTTTCTAAAGACTTATTTAATACCAATTACTAAATAGTCGCTAGGTCTAGGAACAAACATTCACACCTCATTTCTCTCAAATTGATTTAACTCCTCTTGCTGAACACCTTTTGATGTATTTCCAATGATTAGCTCCTTAGGATGAGTATTTACATACTTCCATTCTTTAGGTAAGGATTCTTTGGAAGAAGATGCATCCAAATTGCTTAGGAGAGGAGAGTTTTTATTTAAATTTAAATCATCATCAAAATCATTTTTCTTAAATTCGGGAAGTTCATTAAAAACAACATGAATAGATTCCTCTATAACCATGGTTCTTTTATTAAAGACACGAATGACTTTAAAAACAGAGGAATAACTAAGAAAAATGTCTTCATCGGATTTTGCATCAAATTTTCCTAAGATATTTTTTTATTTAAAATAAAATATTTATAACTGAAAACTTTAAAATATAAAATATTGGGTCTTTTGTTATTCCACAATTTATAGGGAGTCTTAGAAAGTAATGGTCTTACGAGAACCCTATTTATGATATAGCATATAATGTTAACGGCTTCGGACCAAAAATATTTGGGTAGACTATGTTCGTTTAACATGGTTATTGCCATCTCTTATAATCTCTTGTTTTTTCTCTTAGCTACTCCATTTTTTTATGAATTTCTTAGAGTAGAGAAATTATGGTTATACCCATTTGACTCACAAAAATTTTAAAAATTATGGTTTTGAAACTCACCATCGTAATTACTACGAATAGTCGAAATCATAAAACCCTTTTTATTTTGAATAAGTTTACTAAATTTTGAAAAACATTTAAAGCAATCACTTTTGTGTACCAAGAAATATGTCCAAGTGTATCTACTATAATCATCAACAATATCATCAACAGTTACAAATGCGTATTTACTACCACTTAGACTTGTTCTATCAATTAGTCTAAATAAATCCATATGGTTCAATTATAGTGGTTTAGATATACTTATTTGATTCTTTAATTTGAAACTACTTTTTATTTATTTTTCTAGTTGGCATGTATCACAAACTGCATTTCTCTTACAAGTTCTCTAGTTGAAATTTGAGAGATTAGTTTCATGCTAGCATAACATAATCTCCTATGCGAAAGTCATGCATCATCATTTAAAGTCAAAAAAATATGGTTTATCATAAAAATTATCAATAGTTGATTCTTTGATTTGAAACTATTTTTTATTTATTTTCTTAGTTAGCATGCATCATAAACTTTGTCTTTGACAA